CGGTCAAAAGCATCGCCTCAGCAGAGCGTCCGGAAACTGAGAGAAAAGGAGACGAATGTGACGGTGGAAGAGGAGGAAGAGGAGGAAGAGGAGGAAGAACCCAAAGGCTGCAGGACGGACTGATGCTTCCTTTCAAGAGAGGAAGAGAGGAAGACACTCATGCAGAATACTCACTTTTTAAATATATGTCAGGGCATGGAAACGCATGCATTTTGCTAAAGACTGCAGGACGGGGTGGAAGCAGTTCTAGAGATTCATACTCTGCTCTTTCTATGACTTTTGAATCAACCTAAATAAATCATCACTACACTAATCAAGGAAATACTAATTAGCCTATTTTAACATTGGCATTAGTGTTGTTTCAAGAGGTGGGAGAAGTACTCAGTTATTGTACTTAAGTAGAAGTAGAATTGCTCAGTTATTGTACTTGAGTAAAGTACTCAGATCTTCCGTTGTAGCCCCGTTTTTAGAGATTTGGGTACGGAGGAAAAGAGAGAGGGTTTTATTTTCTGACGCTGCGTGAGTTCCCCGACTCACCGGGGACACATGTTTATGTATAAAAGACATCACAAAGTGCATTTTGTATGATAGGTCCCCTTTAAATGATTCAAATTATGATTTCAAAATAAGGGTTGTAGTATAACCACCCAGAGATCATTCATCTATAAAGTGATTAAGGTGTCATTAACTGAATAATAATGAAGTAATTAAATATTTAAAGAAATAAAAAATTGTAAAAAAAAAAATGTAATAATAAAAGAATGTCTATCGTAAAAAGAAAATTAATTTAAAAAATCTAAAATTAAGTAAATAAAAAATCTAACGTTTAAAAAAATGTAACAAAAAAAATCTAAAATAAAGAAAATTGAAAATGTAATGATTAAAATATTACTAAAAATATTTTTATTAAATCAATAAAACATTTTCAAATATACAAAAGGTAACGATTAAAAAAATTAAGAAATTAAGAAACGTAGACATGAGTCGCTTCTTTGTTGAATGGCGTTACATTACATGTCACTTGTTAGACGCTTTTATCCAAAGCGACGTACATACTCAATACTGTGGGCAATCCCCACAGGAGCAATTTGGGGTGAAGTGTCTCAGGGACACAACGACATGCTGACTGCAGTGGGGTTTGAACCTGTGCCCCCCTGATCCGAACACCAACACACTAGTCCACTGCGCCACACGCCTCCGTTACACACACACAACTTCCCTTGCCTTGACTTCATCAGTGTTGTCTTGGTGAAAAACTCACTTCTTTATTTCTGTTTGAAATCCTAAATGTCAGAAAGGCAGAGAGGTTAAGCCTCTGATGTTCTGAGTCGTCCTAAAGTAGAAGTTTTACAGAGAACAAACGTTTGTCTTTTAGGATGAAGCACGTTTCACCTTCATTATATCATATTTGGCGATGTTTCAAAGGTCTTCTCTTCCTCTCTGAACCCCAGGAGGCGGCTGCAGGCTGGACTAAAAGAAACTTCCAGATCAATTCAACTCAGAAATCTTTTGATGAGATAAAAACATTGTAACTCCCCGATGCACCGGGAAGTGTTTGTGTGCAGCTTGAAGGATGTTCATTTTAATCACTGCTGTAATCCCCTTCAGCAAGGCATTTACCCAGTGATGTAATAAAGCACCTATTTAAGTACAATTTCGAGGTACTTTACTTGAATATTTACTTTTTAATGCTAATAAATACTTCTACTCCCCTTCCTTTTGAAGCAAACGTTATACTTTGTACTCCTCTATGTTTATTTAACACTGTTACGTTCCCTAATAGTTTATATCAGGGGTGTCAAACTCAAATACACAGTGGGCCAAAATAAAAAAATGTGTGCTAGTCGAGGGCCGGACTGGTTCAATGTTTATTGCAAAACTTATTGAAATGAACTTGTTGCACATATTAAACCTGGAACTAACAAAGCTTAAATTATTGCCTATAAAAACAACATTAAATAATCAGTTGCATTCATTTCTTATGGCTCTATCTGCAGCTTCATTTCTTATGATTACATTTTTCCTCAGGCCAACAACAGCTTCAGAAAAACTATTTCCCTCAAAGAACAAACCAAACATGCCCTGTTGTCGTGAGAGAAAAAGTGCAGAAGGAAACATCCATGTAAACTCAGTGTGCTGCTCTGTGATGCTAGTTCAAGCCAGATACTTGGCATCTCATCTTGGGTGCAAGGTCATCAATGTTTGGGGTCAGGCTCTGAGCTGAGGAGACCCTCAGGATGGAGTGAAGGTGTGCGTGCAATATACCGGCGGGCCAGATCTAATAGTAATTAGAAATAATCCTGCGGGCTGAAATTAAATCCACCAAGGGCCTGATTTGGCCCCCGGGCCTTGAGTTTGACACATGTGGTCTAGGGTAAAAGTCATATAATGTTAAAATGGACCACTGTGCATGATAAATACTTATATTGTGAGTACTTTAAGTATATTTAATGCTTTTGTTCTAGTTAATTTTGTATGCAGCACTTGACCTTTACAGAGTATTTTGAACAGTGTAGTATTGAGTACTTCTTCCCCCTCTGTGTACAGGTATAAGGTTCATGTGTGTCAGGGCTGATTGTTAGGATGTCAGTCCAGATGTTGACAGCAGAGGGCAGCACTGATGAGCTTTTCTACTGATATTACATTCAAATTCAAAAAGCTTTATTCCAATGACAATAAAGTCATACAGTATGGCCAATGAAAGATATTTTTCCTGTCTTTGAACGTGTAGATTTAAAATGTAATGAAACATTTGGAAAACTGAAATGTGTGCGTGTGTTTGTGCGTGTGTGTGTGTGTGTGTGTGTGTGTGTGTGTGTGTGTGTGTGTGTGTGTGTGTGTATGAGAATGTTTAATGACTGTAACATGTGTTTTCACACTAACCCCTACTGTCAATACATGACAAATGTTGCTGTGACACACACACACACACACACACACACACACACACACACACACACTCCACTCACATGCTTCTTCACAGACTGTAGTTCAGAGTTCTTAACCTTTGACCCTTTCCTGCTGACCTGATGATTATTTTCCAACATGTCCTCACCACATCAAACACACACACACACACACACACACACACACACACACACACACACACACACACACACACACACACACACACACACACACACACACACACACACACCCTGCTCTGTGCCTTTGAGGTCAACAGGTGCCAGCAGCAGCTCGACCAGCTGTTTTTTACGAGACACATCTGGTGTAATACCTTATTCTGTCCAGCAGAGTGCAGTCCCGCGCGCGTGTGTGTGTGTGTGTGTGTGTGTGTGTGTGTGTGTGTGTGTGTGTGTGTTTTATTGGAAGAAATGTACTTGCCCTTTGGCAACGTGTGTGTTCCTGATTCAGGAGTGTGTCCTGGGTACATCTGTGAATATGTGTTTATGTTTCAGTTTGTCTGCACCCCCTGTGTGAGTGTGTGTGTGTGTGTGTGTGTGTGTGTGTGTGTGTGTGTGTATATTGGAAGGTATGAAAGGGACAAACCCTGAACATGTGGTGAATGTATGAGAAGGAAAGAAGAATCAAAGAAAAGACAGAAGAAGAAGAAAGAAAAATAATCTAAGAAAATGCTAGAAAATCAAAGTTAAGGAAAGGAAAGGAAAGGAAGGAAAGGAAAGGAAGGAAAGGAAAGGAATGGAAGGAAGGAAAGGAAAGGAAAGGAAGGAAAGGAAAGGAAAGGAAATTAAGGAAAGGAAAGGAAATGAAAGGAAGGAAAGGAAAGGAAAAGGAAAATCAGGAATGCAAAGATAAGGCCAAAAATGAAATAGGAGAAAGACTAGGAAGATGGATATTTATAAGGGGTATATATATATATATATATATTTAGTCCAACTAGATAAGAAATGGGGAAAGACAACAGAACATGACGCGACACACAGAGTGAGGAACGACGAGGTATTCTCTCTTTAACAAACATCTCTTTATTTTGTCTCTACACCATTCAATAAATACAAAATACAAACCAGCTTCATATTCATAAACAACAATGATCATAACAAATATGACCTATTTAGAAACAGAAATGGGAACAACCAAAGCGATGAGAGTGAGGCGAAGCTCCAATGAAACTGGAATAACATCAGGACGTTTACAGTTTCTATTCATCCTGATGTCATGACATCGGACAAATGATAGAAGCTGCAGCAGGAACGGAAACAATGTGCTTTACTGGTTTTCACTGGTTCTTATTCTTTGTAATATTTATTTATTTAAGAAGAAGCACTGAAAGGCAAGTCGGAAAAATACAATCTGGTGATTTTCTGAGTCTGATTGAAATGGCTTTGTATCTCCTTATAAGGGCACGTTGTTGCTGAGACAATTTAGCTAAATTCCTTAATTGGTAAAAAAGGTGAAATGTGTTTTTGCCAGGTGAAAAAGGGTTTAATTTAGTTGCTAATTATTTATTTATTTGTTAGGATGCTTTTTCTAAGATACCACTGTACTAGCATGTTTAAAAAGCATCAATTACGGTTTCTTTTTTAAGGTGTGTTTTAATTTCTCTACTGTAAATACACGCTATATATAGTGTGAGTAAGCAGTTACCATTACTGTCATTACTTTTTCTGTCATTAAAAAGTGTATTTTAATCCATATTAGTGGTATTTAGAATAAGGGGTAAGGGTGCCTCGTGTGGTCAACATGAGTATTACAGCAACACACACCAAGAGAATAACTTTTAGCTTGCTTTAACTAAATTATATATATTTTTTCACCTGGCAAAACATTCTATCTTTTACAACAAAACCAGAAAATATAAGAAACTTAAAATGATAAACAATTAAAATCTGACTTTTTTTTACTGTATGGCCTCTCAGGGCTTCCGTAGATTTACCCTGTTTTGCCATCGAGGACTTTTTCTGTATTTCTCTGTCTTTGGTTAGTCTTTTTCTTTACTGGCAAACAAAACACACACACACACACACACACACACACACACACACACACACACACACACACACACACACACACACACACACACACACACACACACACACACACACACACACACACACACACACACACACACACACACACACACACATATTTAAGCAACACGTATCCTCTCTCTCCAGTGAGAGGCTTTATGGCTGAACTTCGAAGAGAAGCCCTGTCGATGAAATACACAATCCGACCGAAGTTAGACCCCCGAAAAAACCCAGCTGGGTTTCACTTCTGTGTATTTGTCCTTTGATTAAAAAAAACTGAGCAAAAATGCAAGGCAGGAAAGGTGTGTAAAGTCTGGTTGCTCCTCTTCGTAGCTTCATCTTCATTTAAAGAGTCTTTTTTAATATTATTATCTCTGCTATTTTCTGTTCGTTACAATCCTGAAGCTGATAACAGGGTGGGTGAGGGGTGGGGGGGGGGGGGTCCCAGTGTGCAGTTCTGGGTTCAGGTCCATCAGTGGGATTGATGGGATGGGTTTTAAATGGATAGGAGTTGTTTTGGAGTCTCCTCACAGATTCAGTGTCTCCAGTTTCGCCTTTTGTCCGGAGCTTTTGTCATCAGGACTTCTTCCTCTTTGGAGTCTGTGAAGAACAACAAGAAATATATATTTAGGACACAAGACGGAGATGTTTATGCAGATTAAATAAAGCAGGTTAGCTCTCAAACACGACTTTTTAAACAAACATTATGTCCTTTTCTGCCACAAGGGTTTATGTTATGAAAAACATGATGACATCATACTTAAAGGAGATTAAACAGATTTCTCTACATTTCAATATTTGAAACATTTTGGACGTTTTAATGCGTAAATGTGTGTGTGTGTGTGTGTGTGTGTGTGGTGTGTGTGTGTGTGTGTGTGTGTGTGATGTGTGTGTGTGTGGTGTAGGGTGTGTGTCGTGTGTGTGTGTGTGTGTGTGTGTGTGTGTGTGATGTGTGTGTGAATGTGTGTGTGCTGTGTGTGTGTGTAGTGTTGTCGTGTGTGTGTGTGTGCATGTGTGGGTGTGTGGTGTGTATGTGTGTGTGTGTGTGTGTGTGTGTGTGTTGTGTGTGTTGTGTGCGGTGTGTGTGTATGTGTTGTATGTGCGTGTGTGGTATGTTGCGTTGTGTGTGTGTGTGTGTGTGTGTGTACGTGTGATACTTAAAGGAGATAAAATAGATATCTCTAGGATTGAACATATGGAAACATTTGGATAATGTAGCTACACATCTTTCTAAAAATAACATAGGTGTAGTTGTTTTAGACGTTTAGTGTGTGTGTGTGTGTGTGTGTTGTGTGTGTGTGTGTGTGTGTGTATGTGTGTGTGTGTATGTGGTGTGTGTGTGTGTGTGTGTGTGTGTGGGTGTATGTGTGTTGTGTGTGTATGTGTGTATGTGTGTGTGTGTGTGTGTGTGTGTGGTGTGTGTGTGTGTGTGTGTGTGTGTGTGTGTGGGTGTGTGTGTTGTGTGTGTGTGTGTGTGTGTGTGTGTGTGTGTGTGTGTGCGTGTGTGATGCTCACCCAGGCACTCAGGACAGCAGACCCCCTCCTTGCGGCTGAAGTTGGTGCAGCTCAGAGCGGGACACTGCTTCCTCTGACACTTAGTCACTCCGTGCTGAGGACAGCAACAGAGGAGAGGAGGGTCAGTGAAATGCAATGTCTTCATTCTCACAACTTTACCTATAATATTTACAAGTGGTATTTAATAGTCATTTCCCATCAGCCTCAGTACTTACTTTTATTTACGTCTTAATATGTACACATGTGTCTGTTGATTGTGTATATATATGTACAGTATATGCATATTTCTATACATATTGTATTTTGTATTCCTCTGGATTGTGGGAAAGGGTATTTCGGTCTCTCTGTCCGTACACACAACTGAAAGCTTGACATTAAAGTTGACTTTGACTTGTACTCACGTCACACCAGCAGTTGATGCACTTCATCTCCCCCACCAGAGGCACCCAGGGGTGCCAGTTGTCGCTGTTCTGGTAGAAGCTCTTCCCGAACTTGCAGTGCCGGGGTCCGTCGGCCTGCATCATGTCGCTGTGCTCCAGCCCCTCTCCTCCTGGGGGGGTGCTCTCCTCCTCAGGACACTCCTTACAGCAGTCCGAGGGGTTCCTCCTCACAGGGTGGGAGCAGCTGAGCACCGGACACGTCACCTTCTCACAGTGCACCTCTCCAGAAGAGCCCTGAGGGGGGAGCGTGGAAACGTAGCATTAGCAACGGGCTAGCAACATTTGATCATGACATACTGAAGCTGGTTTATTGCTTTTTCAACATTATTAAGTATTAACCCAATAGTATACTTGAGAAATGCAGACATCGCAAAACATTGTAATATACGTGTTATATTTTTATTTTATTGGACATTTTAATTTAATTACATTTTTTCTTGAACGTCTTCTGTTTATAAATATTTCTGTTTCATATGATTTAATCTTTTCATTGGACATTTTACTTTAACTTATTATGTTTAAATACAAAAAATTGTATTATATTTAATAACATTTTTTATTGGACATTTTAATTTAATTTCTTATGTTTATATTATTTTTTTTTTTTTTAAATAATTTTACTGGACTTTTTCTTGAACGTCTTGTGTATATAAATATTTCAGTTTCATTGTATTTAAACTTTTCATTGGATAATGTAGTAATATACTTATTTATGTTTAAATATAACACTTTTTATTAGATTTATTTGACATTTTAATTTATTTTCTTATATTTATATGAATATTTATCCTTTAATGAATTTTTATCTTTTTATTGGACTTTTCCCTCTAACTTCTTGCATATATATATATTTACTTTTTTCATTTCATTCTTATACACAGAAACAGTCCCAAGCCCACTTTCTTCTGGTCTAAAAACATGATGTCCTTGTGTTGATGGACGCGTCTTTGCAGCCTTGTAAAAGATCAACGATGCATTAAGGGTTCCTGGAAAGTCAAATCCCTCCAGATGTGAGTGTGTGTGTGTTCGTGTGTATTTACCTTGCAAGTGCACACGGCACATTTAATATATCCAAAGGGCGGCACGAAGGGATGCCATGTTGTTCCTGGAGCGTGCATCTTCTGGTCTCCTTCAAAGTAGCAACCTGACAGAAAGAGCGGGAAAAACGGTTACAGTCAGAAAGAAAATGAAGAAAATGCCTTTAGTTTGAACTTAAGAGAGAAATGCATTGGTCTGCATTTATTATATATTAAACGTTGGAGGTATTGAAATGCAATCATTGGAAAGATCTATTTTATTTCTGACTTGAAACTCGTGCAATCCTTTTCTTTTTAGCACTAAAAAGATAAATCACACATGGAGCATTGGAGCCACATGCGGAAAATATATGGTTTAAACGAAATGTTTATGAGATTAAAGGTCCCATGTCATGCTTTTCCGGTTATGACCCGTCCCCTTGTGTTATGAAGGTTTCTCTGCATGTAAACAAAAGTCACAAACCCTCAGAGTACACCCTGTAGCGAGTAAAACTCTAACACAGAAAGACCTGTCTATGCTGCCCCTGAACGCCTCGTTGGACATGTCTCTTTTCCTTCCTGGGTACAGTGACGTGCCCATACCCAAATGGACCAATCCGTGGAGCTCCTCACACACACACACACACTCTCTCAGCGGCGAAACTGTGACGCGCTGGGGGGGGGGGGGTGTCGGGTGCTAGTGGAGCCTCGCAGATGGGGGGGCAGCCCCCTCAGCACCTCATCTGTTTGTCATTACTGGTGTCATTCTCTGGTTGCTAACAAACGCCATTGTAACACATAAACACTGATGTTCCGCTGTAACGGTGATGGACTCATCAGAACAGAGTGGGCGAGCTGACCAATCAGAGCACAGTGGGCTCACAGGGAGGGGGGGGCAGGAGCTCCAACAAGCCGTGTAGGACAGAGAGTGAATACACATACTATACAGAGATGCTGTATGAGAAACCAATGTGAGTTTGGAACATTGAACAATATAAATCTATTCTAGTAGACCTCAACAATGGAATTATGATCAGTGGAAATGGCCATGACATGGGACCTTTAAAACTATATGTATTTATTTCCAGGCATTGAACACGTGTAAAACAGTCCAGACATGGAGAAAGAGAAGACGCAGTACAAGAGGAAAGGTCTTCAGAGGAAAATGAAAAAAGAATGGGAGAGGTAGACCTACCCTCAGGATGCTCCTCCACCGTCTCAGGACCCTTCATGTCTCCGGGCTCTTTGCTCTCTGAACAGGAAGAAGAAGAAATGGAAGAATTAGCTTTCAACATCTGGCTCACACCGAGCAACTCGAAGCATCTCAAGGACTACAAGCTTGATATTTCAAAGGTTTCTAATGTCTTCTTCTCACCGTCACAGATTGGGCAGCACTGGTCCTCGGGCTGGAGGGTTTTGGAGCAGGTCAGCACCAGGCAGATGACGGGGTCACAGATTACAGTTCGCTTCTACAGGAAGAAAGCACGAGGAGTCGGTTCAATGTGCGACGTAAGATGACAAACTATATTCAGACGTAACCGAGGGGTTTAAACGATTCTTCCAAACTTCTCTTGTAATGCGTTTGGATTTAGTGCCAAAATATATGCATCCTGATCAATTAAACCCAACACCAGAACTAGCACGGGGACCAGATCCTTTTTACTACGTGGAAATTCACGAACTTCAGAGGTTGGACATTCCTGATTGGTGGAGAACGATAAACAGGATCAACATTTTCGTTAATCTTAGAAATGTGAGGTTTTGATCCAAGCTCAAAGCTGTTAATAAGTAACTTTAAGTGTTTTCAGGTCAGAAAGTAAGTATTTAGCTTCCCTATATGTGCTCAGTTTATCCAGATAAAGCCTGTCTTTCAACTGTCGTGCAACATTTTCACTTTTAAACCGGCATGGTTATAGATGAAGCGTGCAAAACAATGTTTTATAAACATCAGTGTCTTTTCAGCCTTAAGCGTCTTGTTAGCCTTAAGTGTCTTTTTAGCCTTAACAAACACATTTATTTACTGCTTTTTTGCAGTGTTGGAATTTAAGTACATGTACCAAAGCACTTAAGTACACTTGTAAAGTATTTTATTCTAAAATGGGTGATATTTTGGTACTTAAAGTGTTTTTTGACTGCACTATTGCTTCTTTTACCTATAAGTAAAAGATCTGAGTACTTCTTCCATGATATTCTATTTTTCTTTATTATCTTTAAATACTTGTTATTCCCCCTAAAATATCCATATTCTACCATAAACTACATTTTTAACATCTGCTTCAAGTTAAATAGTTATTTTTTAGAAGTTTCAACCACTGTACGTTTTATATACTGTACATCAGCGTCTTTTGAGCCTTAGCAAACACATTTATTTACTGCCTTTTTGCAGTGTTGGAATTTAAGTACATGTAGCAAAGCACTTAAGTACACATGTAAAGTACTTCATTCTGAAATAGGTTATATTTTGGTATTATTTATGCAGGATTTCTTCTTGTACCTGAGTGTTTTTAGACTGCAGTATTGCTACTTTTACCTATAAGTAAAAGATCTGAGTACTTTTTCCATTATCTTCTACATCTAGCAAAGCACTTAAGTACACATGTAAAGTACTTCATTCTGAAATGGGTGATATTTTGGTACTTAAGGTATTTCTTATGCAGATTTCTTTCTTGTAACTGAGTGTTTTTAGACATTTTAACCTATAAGTAAAATATCTGAGACCTTCTTCCATTATATTCTATTCTTCTTTATTCCCCCTAAATATCCATATTCTATCCTAAACATTTTTTTTTAACATCTGCTTCGAGTTAAATAGTTATGTGTTGTGTGTGTTTACCTGGCAGCTGCAGGAGAAGCACCGGTCGTAGTTTGGGGTCCATCGGGAGCCGTGGGCCTGGTGCTGGTTCTCAAAGAAGCAGGTGTGAGGGTCTTTCTTCAGCTCCTCGGGGTCTTTCATAAACAGGTCGTCAAACTCAGAGTCCTCCACCTCCCCCCGGGTCCCAAACTCACAGTTATTCTGCACGTGGACCTGGAGAGAAAACAGGGAGGGAGATGGAGGGGTGGGGGATAATGAAAGAGAGGTGGAGGAAATATTAGATTAGATTCCTTTATTGTCATTCCAAGCATTCCCGATAGTGCAATCACACATAACAGACAGTATCAGTAACATGTTGACAATACAAGCTAACACCTTTAATATATAATATATACAGTGACTATAAATGTGACCTATGATACACTGAACAGTACGCTTACAAAACAAAACGACATTACCAGAACAATACAAGAACAATACGGTCAAGGCAGTTCAACATTTAATAAGAATACAATATAATAGAGAGGTGGAGGAACAATGAAAGAGAGGTGAAAGAAATGTGACAGAGAGGTGGAGGAAATGTGACAGAGAGGTGGAGGAAATGTGACAGAGAGGTGGAGGGAAGAGAAAAGGTGGTGAGGAGCTTTTGTCGGCCACACCTGACTTATAACGGCTGCTCTCATGCTGACTTTGTAATTGTCCCTGCAGGGAGCTGATGGCTGTTTATGTGTTTGCTATTAAAACAGCTGGACTCTTCTCGTGTGTGTGTGTGTGTATGTGTGTGTGTGTGGTGTGTGTGTGTGTGTGAGTTGTTGTTATTGTTAGTTAGCGTAAAATAACTCTTTAACCTCCACACCTGCAAAGCTGCAAATGTGTGTTTGTGTAATTGTCCCTCTGAACCCAATAAAACCTTTTACTGTCTACCACCCACCTGCCAGTTAAAGTGAGTGTATGTGGTGTGTGTGTGTGTGTGTGTGTGTGTGTGTGTGTGTGTGTGTGTGTGTGTGTGTGTGTGTGGTGTGTGTGTGTGTGTGTGTGTGTGTGTGTGTGTGTGTGTGTGTAGGTAGCAAAAGCTAAATTATACTTACTAAGAAAAAATACAAGTGTTTTTAATGAATGCATTTTAGTTTTATTTTCTTTACCTGTGTTATGTACATATTTCAGTTTGTAATGAATCATATATTTAGAGGTCAAAGTTTGAGCACAACACGCTGTAATCCCTTCCCGGTTGTATCTTACACGGCTGCCTTTGTGTCGTGTAATGGTTGTTAAATGGTTGTCTTGTAAAAGTCAAACGATGTGCTGTGGTTGTAAAATGGTTTCTGTCATGCTTGATGTACGCTTTTACAAACCGTCCCCAATATTGACAATTTAGGGATGCCTTTATTATCTTCAAATACTTGTTATTCCTCCAATATTCTATCCGAAGCTTTTGTTCACACCTGCTACAAGTGAAATAGTGATTTCTTAGAGGTGTTGTGTACGTACCCGTCCTCGTATCTCCCCTCGGGGGTTGGTCTTGGTGCTGACCTGGATGAAGGCGCTGCCCTGGTCCAGATGCTGCAGCAGCTCCACGCTGATGTCCTTCAGAACACCCTGAGCCTGCAGGAGAGGAGGGGGCGTTATTAAATATCAAATAAAATACTATTAACTGTTTGGATGAAGTTAAGAAGTTAGGGTAAAAATATGCAATTCATAGATTAAATAAATCTAATATATGAACATAATAAGTTGTTTTTAATGTGCAATAAAATAAAAATATTTTCACAAATATAAGAAGTTAAAAAAGTGCAATAGAAATAAAAAATATAATAAAATAATAACTTATATAATCAGAAGAAGTTAAAGTAAAAGACTGCATACAAAATAAAATACACTTAAATTAAATATCTATTAAAAAAATGTGCAAAACGAAACACAATTAAATATCTATATAAACATTTTAACTTATGTAAAAAAAATTGCACAATATACAATATTTAACAACAACAATAGGTTAAAATTGTCTAAATTCCAATATATAAAGCGTGTGTACCTGTGAGCCGTAGAATCCGGTGAGCAGCCTCTTGTGCGTGGCGCTGCTCTCGTCCAGCTCTCCGATCTCAGCGAGGCCGTGCAGGTGAGCGTTCAGCGACAGGTCGTCCGTCCGGCTGAGCCCCGTCACCACGATCTCATAGTGAAGGTGGCACTGACGGTCCACTGACACCCAGGCGTGGCCCGAAGCCCCCGTCCTCACCGGGGGGGAGACAAAGTGACCCGCCAGAGGGGTGGGGAGCTCTGAGAGGAGAGAGGGAGGAGAGAGGGAGAGGGTCAACGACTTTTTACTTTGACTTCTTACATGTTGAACACAAATACCTGTACTTTCTACTTCTTACATGTTGAACACAAATACCTGTACTTTCTACTTCTTACATGTTGAACACAAATACCTGTACTTTCTACTTCTACATGTGAACACAAATACCTGTACTTTCTACTTCTTACATTTTGAACCCAAATACCTGTACTTTCTACTTCTTACATGTTGAACCAAATACCTGTACTTTCTACTTCTTACATGTTGAACACAAATACCTGTACTTTCTACTCTTACATTTGAACCAAATACCTGTACTTTCTACTTTTTACATGTTGAACCAAATACCTGTACTTTCTACTTCTTACATGTTGAACCCAAATACCTGTACTTTCTACTTCATACATTTTGAACCCAAATACCTGTACTTTCTACTTCTTACATGTTGAACTCAAATACCTGTACTTTCTACTTCTTACATGTTGAACTCAAGTACCTGTACTTTCTACTTCTCACATTTTCCAAACAGGCTGGTTACTTTAGTTTGAATGTGTGTTTGGTGGCGTGATCATTATTCTTTAGAGTCATTGCGTGCCTATTGATTTGAAACACGATCCGTGTATCCATCATTTCCTGGTCTTCTCTAAAGAAGAGGGACCAATGAAAACGTTGTCATGTTGCCGTTGTTCAGCATGGAAACATTCATTAGCTAACAATGACATTATTGTTCTATTAATATAAAGGGAGGTCAGGTACTCTTTAAAACAGCTGCTAGTTATGGGTACTTTTTACTGAAGTACATTTCAAAAGCCCTCTTTACTTTGACTTGAGTAAAGAAGTTCAGTCAGTACTTCTACTTTTACCTAAACACGAGTATCTGTACTTCTACTTGAGTAAAGGATGTGTGTACTTTCTCCATCTCTGATGTTATGGAGATGTGCATTTAAATACAAATAATGATCTCACCGTGTCTAGGCGCCTCCAGTCCGCTGTACAGCAGAGCTCTGATCTGACCCCTGACCTCCCCCTCCTGGCTGTGCTTGGTGGCCACGTTGATGAACAGCTCGTTCTGCAGCAGCATGTGGATGTGCCTGGCCTCCAGTCGGCTCCAGCTGCCCTGCGCCCGGCCCGACGTCAGGTTGTATTCTGGAGTCAGGTCGTACAGAACCGAGCGCTTGTTCCTCCGTCGGGGCTTCAGCTCGATGGTGAGACCCAGGAACTCAGAGGAGAGTCCTGCCACCTGAACCTGGAGGAGAAGAGTCAGGGAGGAAGGGTTAGAGACTCATTCATGGAGGTTTTGTTGGGGTAAAATGAGCGGATAATTTAACCCTTTTTTGCTTTGGATTGTTTGTTTCCCCTTAATTTCGTTTCCTTTGAAAAAAGCACACATTTAGGGACAAAAAACCATATTCAATTGTTTGGAAAAACCACATTATTTATTTACTGTGCGTTTTGTCTATTCTTTGGCAAGTTTATTATAGAAAGAAATCTAGTATTTAAAGGTACAGAGAGTTAGTTAGTAGCACACATTTTAGGCAAGACTAAGAAATCATATGACTTAAAGTGGACCTATCATGCTATATTTGAATAATATAGTGTAGGACCATACCTATATAAGGCATATTTATACTTTTTTTTTTTCAAAATACCAAACAGATCATGCATTTTAGCCATGCCTCATTTTGCTCAATTTGACATTTTTCTAGCTCTGTTTTAGCAAGGGCTGATTCAGTGAGAACAGCACCATCTACTGGCCTGGCATATGTACTACAGCGTCTCCAGCGCTTTCGAACGGCAATGGCCGTGGCTGTCTCCTCCTGATTGGTGGAGTTGGCCCAATAGCCGTAGCGCCACCGTCCTGACGTCAGGACAGTGTTCAAATCTGGATCAGTTTTTATCAGATCCGTTGCAGCCCCTTTTTTAGAGATTTGGGTATGGAGGAAAATAGAGAGGGTTGTGTTTTCTGACACTTGGTGAGTTCCCTGGAACACCGGGGACACATATTCATGTAGAAAAGACGTACAAAAGTGCATTTTGCATGATAGGTCCCCTTTAAATTGGAAATGTCACATGTTGTCTACCCTTTCTTAAGTAACCATTTAAGAGGCACTGGATTACAGAATGGAATAAAATATATATTCCTTATCACTCTGTAATATTATCTGTCATGTAGATCATCTCCAAGTTAAGTATCGTCATAAAACAAAATCCAACATGGCACAGATGCGTACCTGGTAGTCCAGCGTGCCGTTATCATGGAGGTTAAAGATGGCCGACCCCACGCCGCCCGTCTTCCCCGGCGTCAGAGCGTCACCGCTGGACATCACGCTCTGAATAGCTGCACAAAAACAAAACAAAAACACAGATTCATATAAAAAAAAAAATCCACTTTGGAGCGCTCAAATGACTTATCTGAAAACCATCACTTCTCCCCGTGGAGTTTCCCCCTCCTGCTCTGTAGTAGCATGCGAGATGAGGCAATGATTCCTGTCATGTTAACATTTGCTGGTTTGGCTTTAAGCGGGAGGAAGGAGGGAGGAAAGGGGGGAGGAAGGAGGGAGGAAAGGGGGGAGGAAGGAGGGAGGAAAGGGGGGAGGAAGGAAGGAGGCATTGCATTCCCTCACGTTCTGAAGCCACATAATGTCTTCACTTCACCCTGAGACTCATCATTGAACGGACAGATTCAATTGAACCACTAATCAGGAGGCGTTTCCCTCCATGCAGACACACGCACACACACACACACACACACACACACACACACACACACACACACACACACACACACACACACACACACTCGCACACACACCCACACACACACACACACACACACACACACACCACACACCACCCACACCACACACACACACACACACCACACCCACACACACACACACACACACACACACCGAGAAGAAGAAGAAAACCCACCCAAGGTTAAGCCTCACTATGAGCTAACCCTTGTTGAATGCAGCAGGAGGCTTAAAAAAGATTGAGGGGGGGGGGGGAAAGGGGGGGGGGGGGAATGAGAAACAGAGAAGAATTCAGAAATCGACATGAAGACAGAAAAAGGGGAATGAATGACGTCAAAGAGAAGAGAGCGAAGGAGACGGAGAGCAGTGTGTTGACTTTGAATTCTTCACACATAACGTCAAGCTGTTAATCACGGCTCAGTGACCTCGGCGCGTTGGACTTGGACTGAAAAAAAAACATCTTTTACATATTTGTGTGCACGGTCTCGCGTGTGTGGAGACAATGAAAGTGTCCTTCAAAGTGCCGAGGACACCTTGATGTTCAAACATGCGTCCCAGGGAAAAGACCATGTGTGCACGCTTTAACGCTTTCAGACAGCATTCCCAAAGCAAGCCCTCTTTTTTCTTTGTGTCTCTCTCGTGCATACACAGTGTTGGTGGGCCACCAAACAAATCTATAAACACGGTTTTTCCCCCCATCGATAAGACTTGAAAGCACGGAGACAGAGAGGATAAGTATTTACAGAGGACGATGGGAAGAGAGACACAGATGGGCTCGCACACATCAACAACAACGCAATAAATGTTTTCTAAGTGTTTGTTTGTTTCCTCTGCAGTGTTTGATACCACCTCCATGGTCTGAAGCAGACTGTTCCCATCCATTGCTTCACCTTTGAAAATATGTATAAATGGCTTTTTCACTGTAACTATCATACTTATATTAACGCCACATCTACAGTCATTTTAACCCAAATAATGACTAACCCTAACCCTCACATTGTTTCTGTTTTTATTCGAACCCTAACTTCACATTTGTCACATAACCTTCGTACGTAAGTAATGCCATTTCTTCTTCGCCAACCCAAATCTTCACAGAGCTTTTGAACTGTTTTAACGCTACCTTTACAGTCATCTTAACCCTTACATTGACTTATTTGTAATGTAACTTCGGTACTGAAGATATGCTGATTATGTTGTTGACTAAACAAAACATTATCGTATTTTTCAGACCTTCGTCTGTAGGTATTTTAATCTGAACGCTGATTATTTGTCACGTAACTTTTGCACTTTCGCTGTTATTTTTCGCTCAAACATTGACTTATTTTTCACATCACTTTTGTTCTAATGTAATGCAACTTCTTACGTTTTCTTTAACCAAACGATCAAATCAAACACAATTTAATTGATATACCCCAAAAGTCACAAATCACATGTCTCTGTGGGCATTACAGACAGCCATGTCGTTAGTCTGCTAGTTTTTGTACTTAAATAACACCACTTCTACAGTTATCGTAAACCTAAACTTGACTTTTTTGTGATGTAACTTTTGTAATCAAGTAACGCCAGTTCTTCAGTTATAGAAACCCAAAAGTAGAGTTTCTGGTCACAAATCTTTGGCACTTAAGTAACACCACTTGTACAGATGTATTGACTGACCAACGTTGACTGATTTTATCACGTAACTTTGCTTCTTCCTCAGTCATTTCAACCCAACGTGGACCTATTTGTAGCTTGTTGAACTCATTAAGGTGACAGATGTGATTTGATTGGCACTTACTGTCACATGACTTCCTGCCGGTGGTGAACCCAGAGATTTGTCTCAAAACATTGACTTATTTTTCACTTATTTTGTCCTAAAGTAATGCGACTTCTTCAGGCATTTTAAACAAAACGTTGTCATATTTTCTCCTAGTTTTTGTACTTAAATAACACCACTTCTACAGTTATCGTAAACCTAAACTTGACTTTTTTGTGATGTAACTTTCGTAATCAAGTAACGCCATTTCTTCAGTTATAGAAACCCAAAAGTAGAGTTTCTGGTCACAAATCTTTGGCACTTAAGTAACACCACTCGTACAGATGTATTGACTGACCAACGTTGACTGATTTTATCACGTAACTTTGCTTCTTCCTCAGTCATTTCAACCCAAACGTGGACCTATTTGTAGCTTGTTGAACTCATGTCGGTGACAGATGTGATTTGATTGGCACTTACTGTCACATGACTTCCTGCCGGTGATGAATCCGGAGATTTGTCGGGGCTCCAGACCCTCGGTGGCCACGGTGATCTCCAGCTGACCTCGAGACAACCAGAAGAGTTCCCGGCTGTTGAGCTCCGTCAGAACCTCGGCGAAGTCCGGATCCTGCACAGAGAGGAAACGTTAGCTTTAGATGCTATACATGGGTAACACCAAATGACACCACATATTAAAAAGGGGGCTAGCAATGTGCCTCTTATACATATGGTTGGTTTTCGCCGATGTCACAAAATAACCAATTTGAATGAAATGTCCACTTATCTATCTGATCTCACTGAGCGATCTGGAAACTAAATATGAAGGTTGTTTGCTCAGTATTTAATGATGTATGTATGAATATCAAATTTAAGACATACATTATTTAGGCTGTTTCTGACCTAATTGAATTGTAACATTGCTTGTTTTTTTGTTATTTCCTACACAAAAAACATCGTGTCACATATCATGGTGCCGGTTTTCGCCATTTAGATGTCAGAAAAAGCAGATATTATTATTATAATATATAAAAAACATACTGAATAAAATCCTAATTCCCATGTCTTAAAAATATAAGACTTTTGGATGATTGGCTTGACATATTTTAATACAAATTAAGCCTTATCTTACACAAGGCTAATAAGAATAAGAATGAATAAAAGAAAACATCTGATGGTCTTGAATACCAGTGAGTAAATTGTCAAAAAAACGTTATTATATATTGAATAAAATCCTTATTCCCATGTCTAAAAAATATAATACGTTTGCATGATTGACTTGTATTTTTATACCAATTAAGGTCTTATCTTGTGCTGCCTTGTAAGACTGTAAGGATCTGTGGGAACCAATGAGAACGTCTTATCGCGCTGTGGAGATCTTGTTGACATGATATTTGTACAACATCGAGACGCCAAACATATTTCAACAAAACACAGACGGGTGACACGTTTCCAGCGAATCAAATGAACTTCAGTTTATCCCAAACAACGATGAGATCAGCGCGGAGAGGGAAACAGATCCAAGAACAGTGAAGGCTCCTCCAGATGAGATGAACTCAGCAATAACAGACAGTTACGTTACATACAAACACATGATGTTAACTCACTAGCGCACACTTGAAACCTGAGGCTGAAATATGGCTCGCATTGCTTTAACACTTTTCATATTGGGTTTAATTTCAGGCTGCGGGAGAGATGGAGGAGGGGGGGGGTTTGTCAAGATGTTGAAAAATGTTAGTAATAGGACAGATGTACGAGCGTGTTGAAGAAATGTTACTTTTATGACTTCAGGGCCGAGGAGCCAAACAGAGAGAAGGAGTTATAGTTATCGTGGAAAGTGAATAGATGGAATAACGAGAGAGAGGGGGGGGGGGGGGGGGGGGGGGTGGGGTGCAAAGGGATGAATGGAGGTCTGGTGTAAATCAGGCAGAGCAATAACACTGTCAGAATCACTGATAACGAAGAAATAACGACTTTTGAAAGTCACGATTGCTTGTCTGGATGATTTTTTAGACATGGATTAAGAGGGACAGGTATCGTCTTCAGCTAAAAATAACTTGTACTTTTATCCATACAGAGGTAGAAGAAGTACTCGGATGCTTTACTTTGCTAAAATTAGAAATACTATGGTGTTAAAAATACTCAGAAATACGTCATTCAAAATGTTACTCAGAGGTATTACGAGCAATATGTACTTCAAGTATAAAAAGTACAGAGTATACAGAATGGCTCTTTTCACAGGATTATATTTCAATATAGCATACTAGTATTTAGTTTTATCACCAGCTTCATGTTTAAGTTTGTCCAGCCATTTCTAGATATCTTTTAGACGCACCGGGTATATTCGTGGTACAGTACTGCATCATATCAGCTTATCATGTGTTTCTATGTATAGTAGAAGTAACTGTTAGTGTTTAGAGTAAAGTCATAACATCATCATATGGAAATAGAGTACAGGTAAGCCAAACTAGTACTTACTTACTTGTACTTACTACTTAAGTAAATGTACAATGTTAGATTCCAAGACTGCCACTAACATGGTAAGTGACTAAAGAGTAAAGTACAAGTAAGATACTGTAGTACTTTAATATAGTTCTTGATGTACTTTGTGACTTTCCACCTCTGTCTGTATCGAGATGTTACTCAGATCAAATGAGTCAGCGGTTTTAGCGTTAGCATTTAGCTCCAGGACCCTTCTGAGGGTTTCTGAGCTCAAACTTCTACCATATTTTTCACGGACAATATCCTTCTCCCGGGAGGATTAAAAACAGACCGGCCTTTCATTACTCTTCCTCCTCCTCTTCCTCCTCTTCCTCCTCCTCTTCCTCCCTGTATCCATCTCAGCCCACAGACCGCTAACCACTGACATGTGTTTGCAGTGTGTTCACTGTGGGTTTGCAGTGTGTTCACAGTGTGTGTTAGGAGTGTGTTTGCCGTGTGTGTGAGGAGTGTGTTCTCAGTGTGTTTGCAGTGTGTGTGAGGAGTGTGTTTGCAGTGTGTTCAGTGTGTGTGAGGAGTGTGTTCTCAGTGTGTGTTTGCAGTGTGTTTGCAGTGTGTTTGCCGTGTGTGTGAGGTTGTGTGAGGAGTGTGTTCTCAGTGTGTGTTTGCAGTGTGTTCAGTGTGTGTGAGGAGTGTGTTCTCAGTGTGTGTTTGCAGTGTGTTTGCAGTGTGTTTGCCGTGTGTGTGAGGTTGTGTAAGGAGTGTGTTTGCAGTGTGTTCAGTGTGTGTGAGGAGTGTGTTCTCAGTGTGTGTTTGCAGTGTGTGTGGAGTGTGTTCACGGTGTTGCTGTGTGTGTGAAGAATGTGTGTGGAGTGTGTTCCCAGTGTGTTCCCAGTGTGTTCCCAGTGTGTTCCCAGTGTGTGTTTGCAGTGTGTTTGCAGTGTTGTCTGTGTGTTAACAGTGTGTGTTCGCTGTGTGTTCACAGTGTGTTTGCAGTGTTGTCAGTGTGTTCTCTATCATCCCCTCCTCACATCTGTAACACTTCCCCTCACACACTTTCTCTCCTCTCCTGTCCCCCCCCCCCCCCTCACTCTTCCTCCTCCTCCTCCTCCTCCTCTCTTCTTGTCGTGTTTCGGGGTCGTTAGCTGGGATCAGAGCGCGAGGATGTGGCGACGAAACCACATCCACCTCGAGAGGCGGGAGTGTGTTTCTGTGTGTTCCCAAACACCATCATCAGCCACATATATCATTAAACACTTCTCCTGAAAACATCCCACTTCTTTTTTTGGAAGGTTCTTTCAAATAAATTGCAAGAAGCGATTCACATTTCCATTTTCCAGACGTTAAAACAGGGAGAGGAAATAAAGGATGTACTTTATTAGTTAAATGACCTCCATTGATATTGATTTCCTTTTGGCTGGAGGACCATGCAAGCTTTGAGTTGTGCTTCAGGAAGGGAGGTTGGAATATTTAGTTGAAGGCCGAGCAATAAATTGTTTTTTTAATGTCTTGTAAATCCAAGAGGGTTTTGGCACTTTGTTTGCATGACAGGAAATTGAAGGAAATCAATAGCTTTTTTTAACTTGTTCAGCCTTGAAACAGCCAACTGTTCACTGCAGACCATGATGTGTTATTATAACTCACGTGAGAGGTGATGTTGGCTCGGATCTCTCTCAGGACGTGCTGCCGATACACCAGCTGGACTCGGATCGGCACCAACACGGGCTCTGAGGAGACACATTTAGCAACGTTAAAGCACTGAGATGCAATACTGAGATGACAACAAAGATCTCAGAGGACTCTTGTCCCAGTGGTTTCTTTACTTGTGCACTGAAAACACTGACACGGTCTATCTATCTATCTATCTATCCATCCATCCATCCATCCATCCATCCATCTATCCATCCATCCATCCATCCATCCATCCATCCATCCATCCATCCATCCATCCATCCATCCATCCATCCATCCATCCATCCATCTATCTATCTATCCATCCATCCATCCATCCATCCATCCATCCATCCATCCATCCATCCATCCATCCATCCATCCATCCATCCATCCATCCATCCATCTATCTATCTATCTATCCATCCATCCATCCATCCATCCATCCATCCATCCATCCATCCATCCATCCATCCATCCATCCATCCATCCATCCATCCATCCATCCATCCATCTATCTATCTATCTATCTATCCATCTATCTATCTATCTATCTATCTATCTATCTATCTATCTATCTATCTATCTATCTATCTATCTATCTATCTATCTATCTATCTATCTATCTATCTATCTATCTATCTATCTATCTATCTATCTATCTATCTATCTATCCATCCATCTATCTATCCATCTATCTATGTATCACTTTGACTTGCCTTGTGTTGAAAGGTGCTATATAAATAAACGTGCCTTGCCTTAGAGGGGTAATAACATCTCAGTTCTTGTTCCTGCTGCTCACCTGTGTCTTTGTGTTTGATCAGTCCCTGCAGGATGAGGATGAAGTGCAGGTTGTTCTCGGTGTCGCTCAGCGTCAACATGGCCAATCCTCCCATCCCCGAATGTTCCTCCTCCGACGTCAGCGTGGAACTGAACGTCTCTGTGAACATGAACAACACCATCATGAGTAAATGCATTCTCCTGAGGGACTTCTATATAAATACTTGTCTTACTACATGAATCCATGTGTTGGGAAAACACTGAATGTCCTCTTCCAATATCAGAGTCCACCTGATAGCAAAGGTATCCCAACTGTAGCTGTGTACATGACAGGATGTCTGATTACCTAGAAGAGCATCAGGACTGTTTGAGGCATATGATAGCTATGTGATTAACATGATGATTCAGCCTCTATGGAGATAGACATGTGACAAGCATGCTCATTTCTGACGTGGAGCTAATCTGAAGTAAACATTGAATACTGCTTTCTATTCCTCCATCTTGTGACTGTGTAACTCCCTCTCTTGGATATCAGCATGTGAAGGACACTGTTCAGGAACAAGTTGATGCTCTGTATGTGATGACTACTTCCATTCTGGAGAGGATCACAAATACATGGATCCTTGAAGCTCAAGCCGGGGACGAGTGATATTTTTCTAACACCTTGCAAGGCTTTGTAAGATTACATGAGAACGTCTCCATATGAATATCTATATATTGTGTTTACAGTGTGCTGCGACACAAAGAGAGAGCAGTATCTGACTCACCAGCGAACAGAGCTCTGTGTTTGATGATCTTCCCCTCCACCTCGTCCTGTCCGCCACTCGCTGAGCTCATAACGATCCTCATCTGCTCCGTCTGCAGCTGACGGATCAGAGGCTTCCCCAGGTTCTTCCACACTCCACAGATCTATAGACATGGAGAAAAGATACATGAATACAGGTAGGGGAGATTCAGAAGTTTAGCAGTGAGGACGGAGTTGTGCATATTAGGCTGTGACGACTGATTATGTTCTGTATTAACACATTTGGCTATGGCATAGGGCTGTGCAATTAATCGTATTTTAATCTCGATTACGATTTTGGCTTGCAACGATTACGAAAACAATGTAAACGAAATAAAACGATTATTATTTTTATTAAAAAAAAAATTATTATTATAATTATTTTTTTATTTTTTTTATTGGTTTTTCAGTTTAATTATACTTGAAGTTCAGGGTAATCAACTGTTAAAAACTTACTGTTCACATTTTTTTTTTCAATATATGGATGTTTTCAAAGTAAATGGATAATGTTTTTAATAATCGTGATATCAATTATTGACCAAAATAATCGTGATTATGATTTTTGCCATAATCGCACAGTCCTACTATGGCATGTCAAAAAGGGACAAATGTCAATGCCAGTTTCTCAAAGTACTTGAAATAGTACTCTCAAAGTATATTTGAAAGGCTAAAAAACTGAATCAAATAATATTTTTGCAATAAAAATAACCGTTTTTCAAGATATTTGGAGATATTTTTTCTGTAAAATATCAAAATGTTTGAAAACTATCTAAATAAAAAACATTTTTCGTCAAGTCTGTCCATGGTGATCAGTGATCAGTCTAAAACCAAAGCATATGCCGAAAGTGAGAGTGAAAAAGAGTAATTTAGCTTGAAAAAACATAAAAACCAAAACTACCAATAAGAGGGGGAAACTCAAAGACATTTCCTTTTCATATGAAAAACAGAGAATCTTCATATTTGGAGGCTGAAAAACAACATTTTCTGACATTTTCCATCAACATTTTTCCCTGTAAATCGACCTAACATACGTCCCTAACGGTTTGGGCCCCATGTAAATCAACCCAAACTCTCTCCTGACAAAGCACAGACAACAGACAACACGTGCACATCTGCTGCATGCATCCCACCATGTGATTGTTCTCTCGCTGCGAGGCTGTAACCCTTTAACATGAAGAAATGTGTCCGTGTGCCGGCACCTCATAACTCTAATCTCCATTTTAATTATCCCTCCTCTCTATCCCCTCGCCTGCAGTGATGTAACACGTGAAATATTCTCTGTCCAAAGAAGTTTTGCTCCAGAAAAACCCCCTCTCTTCCCCCCTCACTTCCTTGTTGTGTTGCAGTGTTTCCTCTAAGGTCCTCCGCTGCTTGACACTGACATTTATCTAAAAATAATAATTCCTGAGAGCTGCATTTGGAGCGCTGCTGCCTCCACGATGTGTGTATTCTGGCAGGAAATGATCTAGTTATCAAGGGAGTGTGTGGACATGAATATATAGGTACTACTGTTACACACACACGTATCATTTGACTGATTCATCGGGAGGATATTAAACTCCGTCAGTGCACGTCTGAACCGATGCTAATTTCTCCCCTTCTTGAGAGAGTGTGTGTTGATGTTTACCGCAATCAGTTTGTGGTGTTGAGAGAGAGAGCGAGAGGAAGTGTCACCGTGTGTGTATGTGTGTGTCTGCGAGTGTGTTTATTGTTTATTATCACAGAGTGAGTTATGGGAGGAAAAAGTCAGAGCTTCAGGGAGAGCATTCATCAATTTCTCTCACACTCACACACACACACACACACACACACACACACACACACACACACACACACACACACACACACACACACACACACACACACACACACAGGCGCCGTAAGGGGGTGAAAAGTTAGGACGATTCTAAGGGCCCGTGACTGACAGGGGCCCAAACAATTTTAGAACTTTAAGAAAAAAATGTTTAAGTAACCAATGTGATATATTTTCATGGGGCCCAAAATCCCTGGCAGCGCCCCTGCACACACACACACACACACACACACACACACACACACACACACACACACACACACACACACACACACACACACACACACACACACACATCACTAATGGAGGTGTATATTTACCATGTCTAACTGTCCTTTAGGGACTTTGTACTCGAACGCCGTCGTCCCGTCTGAATCCAAGAAGACGATTTTACTGGGCCGACTCATTCTGAGAAAAAGGGGAAACAGAGGGATTTAAAACAAGTGCAATGTGTATTCAGAAACACAACTTAATATGTCTTTTCCAAACTGCATGTGCTGGTACTTCTATATCTTAGGAGGAGAGGTAACGAAAAGAGCTGAACCTTTTGAAAAGTAGGTCCAACGAACAAGGATTTATTGGTTTTAATCTAAATTGGAATCAGGGATTAGCAAAAGTAGGTTTTAAAAGGTTTTAAAATCAAGAGAAGCTCCAACCCTAACCCTAAAACAAATTAGGGTTAGGGTTAGCTGGACCCTTATTTAGAGTTAGGTTAAAGTTGATACTGGATTAAATTGTTTTGGTCAAATAATCAGAGATTTTTCAAGAGATGTTTTTAACCTTTTTCCTTAAATTTTGAGCTAGTTTTTTAAAGTTTGGTTCAACAGAATTGAAAGGTTATCCAGGATTGGGTCGAGTTAAAACATTAATAAACGGTATTCATGCTTTCAGATGAGTAAATAGGGGACAAAAGAGAGGTCTCAGCTTCTCTGTATTCCTTTGCAAAACATGACATTGTTGCCAACAAGCTGAAAAGTGAGATATCAGCCAAATGATCGCATTAAAGAAAACATGTCCTCTTTTTAAAAAATCGTTTTTGGCTGATTTGAAACCATAAAACTCAATATGGTCGAGTCTGTCTCTTGACTTTCTTCAAGGTACCTACATATTGTGCTCAATCAATCTTAAAAAGACTTTGTAAGTATAGTAGTTCAAGTCGATACTGCATCACATGTTTAAGTGGAGTTTTGGTGCAAAATAATTTAGTTGTATAGTTTATAGTTGTAAAACAAAATTGTCTTTGTTTTGGATTAGCGGTAATCAGTGGAACATGAATGCTTGTTAGTGCAACCCAACCTAAAGCTTTTACAAATCCAATCCCAGGATGCATTGTGTGTGTGTACCTCTGGTATGTGATGGAGAAGGCCAGGCTGGTTCTGGTCAGAGAGAAACGAGCTCGAGCGACTCCGTTAGAGCTGGGCAGCCACGAGTCAGAGGATCCTGTCAGCACGGCCACAAAGTCTGCACACAGAAATATACTTAATATAAATATATATATGTATAAACATCAGCTAGCATGCATTACATTAGATAAGACTTTCATCCTAAGCAACGTGCATTATAAAGATCTGAAAAGCACGACTCCTGCATCCTGCATGTGAGAGTTTGCACGTGTTTCACGATCGCATTGAATGGAAATGTGTCCTAGTTTTATAAATCGTTTTTGGCTGATTTGATAGGAGAGAGAAATACACTTACTAACATATACACACACCTTACATTAGATTTCATTAAGCTGACACTTTCATCCAAAACAACGATTATAAAGATCTCAAGAAAGCACGAATCCTGCATCCTGCAATTGTGTGTGTGTGTGTGTGTGTGTGTGTGTGTGTGTGTGTGTGTGTGTGTGTGTGTGTGTGTGTGTGTGTGTGTGTGTGTGTGTGTGTGTGTGTGTGTGTGTGTGTGTGTGCTCTCACCGGTGCGGCTCTCCCCGGGGCCCAGCTCCTCAGAGCTCAGGTAGGATCTGTCGTTGTAAGACTTGTGGAGGTCGTCGTCTTTATCTCGGCCCTTCTTGTCGAAATACTCGAAGCTGTCGAGCACCGAGTACGTCTGTGTCCTGTCAAAGTCTCCTGTAGAGGGGGGGGGGGGGGGGGGGGGGGGAACTATTAGGTAATGTAATAAAAACACACAGATATCTGCTGTAGGTATAGGCCAGTATGGATATGGACTAAACCAATTTGAAATCATGCACAAACAGGAACATACGTTGTAATCTTCATACCGCCATCTTCATACTATCGGCTGGAGTGTGTACTGGTTTCAAGTATAACAGTGTATGCATTTGACAAACTATCTTAGGGTGATTTCAACTTTAGTTGGCCTGGTTAGTTTCAATCGCCAAATAATTTGCTTCATATCAACTATTAAAGGTGGGGTAGGTAAGTTTGAGAAACCGGCTCGAGATACACTTGTTATATTCCATGGAATGCTCTTAACATCCCGATAGCAATGAATATCTGAAGTGCTTTGACAAAAAATCCATTAATAAATGTCATCTGTGGAAGCTGTAGTACTGTAAAAAGCATGACCAATCATCTGAGCCGGCCCGGCTAAAATAACTGGATGGCCTACCTGCCTGTCAGCCTTCCATCGGGGCACAAACTTATCTCGTGCCCTCATTGGTCATGTGCGCGTTCGTGTGTGTTGGAGGAGGGGCTCTGTAAGGAAGTGGCAGATTTTCTCCGGCTGTGTATTTTCAAATTCTAGCGCACTCCAGCTGGTTTCTCCAAACTTACCTACCCCACCTTTAATTCAATTTGATATGACTTACATCAAAGTGCTGCATACTGTAAAGTCCTTTCATTCCACATTACTTGATTAGTTGTGGGTCCTGATGATACAATCACCAAACTGCCTGATCAATAAACTGTAAAACGTGATGTTTACTCCTCTAAAAATTAGCAGGCAGAGAGAGACTGGGATAAATCAGTAGAAATCTGAGAAGAAAAGCCAGAGATGTCGAGAAAAGGGAACGTCGTCAAACAGACATTTCGTCCAAAACCTGAAGCAGCACTTTCTCCTCCTCACTTCCTCCCTTTCATCCAGAGGTAAGAGTCTCTGCAGCCGAGGAGCTTTAGAAGAATTGGGAGTGACAGTGGCGTGCGATCCCTACAATGACCCGCTGTTCCACACACACACACGCACACACACACACACACACACACACACACACACACACACACACACACACACACACACTCAGCCAAACACAGCCTCACAAAGTCCCACAAACTTTATTTCTCAGAGGCAGTTTTTCTGAGGAGCTCGACTGCACTGTCTGCTTTCTTTCTGTGTCTGATACACACACACACACACACACACACACACACACACACACACACACACACACACCACACACACACACACACACACACACAAACCACCCACAAATATCCGATCTCATCATTCCTCTCTCACTCCCTCACCGCTCTGCACCAGAGGGCTTCTGGGTAGTGTCACTCTCACTTCTCCCCACTTAGCAATGCTGTATCCCCAGGTGCACTAGTCATTACACACACACACACACACACACACACACACACACGCACACACACACACACACACACACACACACACCGTTTTCCATCACTTGCACCAACATACTAGCTGCTTTTGTGCCAACGCTAAGACAAACATACATATACACACACACACACACACAGAATGCTGTTTTTCTGCAGATCTGCTGTTTTTCTACGCTGTGTGTCAGGGAGTGGAAAGTAAAGGTAAAGCGCTGTGTGGGCAACACTGTGTGTGTGTGTGTGTGTGTGGTGTGTGTGTGTGTGGTGTGTGTGTGTGTGTGTGTGTGTGTGTGTGTGTGTGTGTGTGTGTGTGTGTGTGTGTGTGTGTGTACCTGGGTGGTACCGTTAGTTGCGGCTGGTTACACAAAATGTTCTCTTGATGCGGTTGAAGGAAAAATCAATTGCCCTGCTCCCTGCGTCTAACAGCTGCTCTGGAGAGCGACTGAAGAACCAGAGGGGCAGGGAGAAGGCAAACACATATTCTGGTTTATTTCATATCTGGAGGATGTTACCTTGTTAAAGGGCGAAAATACTAGGAGTGTAACACGGGAAGAAGAAGTAGAAGTGCAATGAAAAGTCTTGTCTCTAAAGACCCAGTTCTCCCAATGTGTTGTATTGTTTCATCATGAGGGCTTTTGAAGCACCATTTGCTTGTTTTCCCAGCTGACTGTTGCATTACGAGCCGGATGAATGTGTCTCTGAAAGCCAGAGGACAGCAGGAGGAGATGATTATGTTATTGATGTATGTGTTACCTATGGCGCAGGTCTTGCAGCAGTGTCCGGGCAGCAGCACCGGGTCAGGGCAGTCCAGCTCGGGACAGTCCTGTTTGATGTTCTTACAGTTCACTTTCCCAAACACCTTCCCACGACGGCCCTTTTGCTGCCAGGGAAACAGCATTCAACAAAAATCATTAGCCAATCAAAACGTTTCTCCTTGCTGAATTTAACTGAATTAAAACACAGATTTGTTTGTCCATCATAACATCAAAACTGGACTCCAGCCCTGCGGTATCGCTCTGGAGATCTTTGTCCAAATGGGTCCTTTTTCACGTTTCATGTGTCAATAACTTTGTCGTGTTACTGCATATGGCATGATTGTTTTGTAAGAAGGCTATTTTCTCTTGACTAATTAGGGAAGTACTTTTTAAATCTGACTCTGTGTAAAAACTAATAATGCATCAAATCAATTTTTGTTGCTAATCTTTGACATATCTTACATTGACTGTGATAAAAAAAAAAGCCATTCCCCAGATATGTATTATATGGAAAATAACTAATTTTCTCTGTTTTTCTAACCCTGAAAAACCACAGTGATTTCATGTATTCTAAATGGTATTTAAAGGGTTAAAATCCTGAAAATGATTACATATTTGGTATTTTTGATCAGGGCTGAAGCTGCTTTAAAATTTGAACCCAAAAAAGTGGTGGAAAAAATATTTTAATATTGTTTTTATCAAAGTTTTTGGCAGTGGACATTTTTGTCCCGAATGACTAATTAGGGCAGGGCATTTGAATGATACCGGGTTAGTTACATTAAAACGTGCCTGTATAACTCTGTGTGATCATGGCATTGTATAGCTGCTCATCTGTTATTTTAGCTCTTGGTCCAATGGGACATTTTTACAGCAAGTCTTTGGAGGAAATAGCATTGCATTGACACGTAAAAAGACTGATAAAAACTCACAGTTTCGCAGTAACACTGAACACAGTGCATGACTCCGAAGGGCTCGCCCAGGTCTGGGTGCCATGTGTCCTCCAGAGAATAATAGCGACCTCCGAACGAGCATCCTGCAACACAAACACGGTGATTAAACATCTTCAGGGTCTCAATAACTCAACAGTATGTCTCTTTCCAAACCAGAGGCAGACATGATAACAAACAGAGAGGAACATGGGGTTTCGTGCTTTTGCATAAATGACGGGAAACACAAGATATTTAGATGAACTGTTTCTTAATATTTAAGAGGTGGATTTTATGAATTGTCTGACATGCAACTCTGCACTCTGAGCCATTGCATGCACCCTCTTTATATTTAACAACAGATCAATCTTGCACAGCTCATTGCCCGGGCATGCAGGAGGAAACTGAAACTCTCTGGATGCTTCATGAGTTTTGGATATCACATCCCGTTTCCTCTCAATGATCCACGAGCAGTCAGGGGAGACGTTCAATTTTCCTCTGACGGACGATCACAGATTCCCAGAAACACACATAACGTAGGCCAGACTTTTAAAAAGACTTAATGACGTGAGGAATTTAGGATTTAACTGTAAATGCTATAAGACCGTAAGTGAGGAGGTACTTTAAAGTGGATCTTTGGGACAGTTTTGTTTGGTTCTGTACTTCAGAATATCAGAATTGAAATGAAACAATGACTGTAAGACTACAGAGGCGCTGACGTTGTGTTTACTGTACACCCACACCACGGGAAATTTGAGCCAAAGAGGCAGAAGTGCCACGTTGAGTTTTATATATTAGGAAAGAAAATACGTTTCAATGAGTATTGTCTGTGCTAAATCAAAGACAAGGAAACTGAAATAAAGACAGATGAGTTGTAATTAACAGAAAGTGGGGTTTAGGCATTGCATTATGGGTAGAACATGTTAAAAAAATGCGTTATATCACATCATATGAAACCAATTTTGATCAAGCTGCTGGTACCATTTAGTGAAGTCAATATATATTGAGCATTGCTATACAAACAATACATATTGCATATAAAAAAATACATATTAAACATTATTACCACAATGATTTTGGCACAAACCCTAATGCAGAATGTATTATTTCCACTTCAATCAACACCAAATGAAATCCCAGTATCTCAATAAGTCTTTAAAATTCTATTGTGCAAGAACTTTGGTATTATGTTTTCTGCTCAAAAAAGACACAATGAAAACATTTTCAAACCAAATGGTCTTACATGAGCCAATGTTCTGCATTGGTTTAGTACAATGTGCCAAAAACGGGCCTCTTGCACGCTTTTGTCATTTGATATGTTTCATTTGCTCAATCTGATTCTACAAAAAGCTCAAATATTGTCGACCAGTACGTATGTTAACAGCTTCTACTTACACCTTCTTGGCAAACAAAAAGCCTTTGAATGGTCCATTAAGAAACTGAAGGACACAATGTTAACTGCACTTTTTACTGTTTCACTCAAAATCCAGTGTGCTTAGAGCCATAACCGTATAAAAACACATTAAGGCTCTAATGTATGGTGCCAGCACTGTATAGTGTTTTTACAGGAGATAAAACCCAGCTTTGACTTTAATTACTGAAGCCATTATTGAGTGTTAGTCACGCTGTGTTACTATGAATATCTCAGTGATTTTGGGTTAGGATAACAGCGTGTGTGTGTGTGTGTGTGTGTGTGTGTGTGTGTGTGTGTGTGTGTGTGTGTGTGTGTGTGTGTGTGTGTGTGTGTGTGTGTGTGTGTGTGTGTGTGTGTTTCTGCTCGCTGCTCGCTGCTACCAACCTGGTTCACATTATTCCTTCATTAAAGTGACTGCACACTTTGAGCAGTCCAGTTAAAGGAGAGCCAAACTGTGAGGCTGCCACTTCTGTCTCTGCACAAATAAATCATCTCAGAGTAGCCAATGCTTGTAATGTAATGGAAAGTCGATTGATTACAGTTTCCAGTGAATTGCACGGTAAGGCAGGCAGCGTTTAACGTGGAGTTCCCACAGTTTGAACTGCAGAGTAGTTACCTTATAAAAACCGCAGTGAGCTTTGTAGCAGGGGCTTTTTAACACATCAATCAAATGGCATCCACTGCGGTTATGACTCAGATGTTTGCCTCTGGTTTACACATGGAGCTCAAGAACAATTCAAGGAAACTTGGGGAAAAAACGGAGTTTGTGTGGGCCTAGTCCATTACTGCGGAGACAGTTTTTAACTTAACTGTTTATGCTAAAAGGTCCAAGGACACAACACACCAGGCTTCATAGGAAAATCATACAATTGAAGATGTTTTGTTTGTTTTTACAGACAAAATATTGGTATTTTTGAGTCATACTTGCACTACTGTAGGCTAGTAATGCTTACATCAATTCGGCATAATTTTGGAATAAAGTAACTGCATTCAATACTAAATAAAATACTTTTAAATGGTCTCTTAGTGCTCCGCTGCCCACGTTTGTGAGAGTAAATGGTCAGGAATGTTGATGTGTATAGGATGCTAGCCGAACAAATGGCTCCTCTTAAACCATTAACAATACTTTCTTTACAGTCCCATAAACACAACATGCCTACGACTGTTAACATTACACATTTCACTTTTTTAACTGAGATTTGGTACTTTATTGTACTCACATATTGGTACTACAAAATTAAACATGGTTGGAATTATAGTTGCTTGTATTTTCTTAAATGTGTTCATCTTGTTAAGCCGAATGAAAAACGGGAGCCTCTTAATTAATGACAAATGCATAGTTACTTTAAAGTCCCATAAACACAACATGCCCGGCACTGTTCACATTAAAAATGACACTTTTTTTTACGGGGTTTGGTATGGCTCGTGCTCACACAGTGGTATTATAGCCATGTTGGAATTGGTGTAACTTTTATTTTCTTAAAATTATGCTCATTTAGGCTGTTTGTGTATTGGAAGCTAGACGAATTGTCTAGTGGCTCCTATTCATTGATAACATATAAGTAACTTCAAATTCCCATAAACACAATATGCTCAGCACTGATCACCTTAAAAATGACACTTTTTTAAGGGAGGTTTGGTACGGTGGTGTTGTAGTGGTATTATAGCAATGGTTAAAACTGTAAAAACTCGTAAATAAAAGTAAAATACATGTGTGTTTCTTACCGGCCAGGCCTTTGGAGGGCAGCGGCTCCCTCTCGGACTGGATGGGCAGAGCCGGAGACTTCAGGCGCGAGGCTCCGGTGCGCAGCCACGCGCAGCTCAGCACGCACAGCAAGGAGCGGAGCGCGCGGGGACCCAGCATGCCAAATCCTCTGCGAAATCACTTCCTCTCAAACACTCCAATACAGCACTTTAATGCAGCCACTGGCGACTTATTCACCCCAAAAAAATGTCTTCCTTTACGTCCAAGTGTCCGGTTTTTTGTGAGTTCCTGTTTATAATCATCCAGGGTTTCAGTCAGGGAAGAGGTGTTCCAGTCTGGGCTTCTGTCCTCCGCAGAGTCCCGGTCCTCTGTGCTTTATAGGCGGCTCTGCTGACAGCTTGGAGTCGGGGGAGGAGGGGGAGGTGAGGGGTGGGGGTGGGTGATGGAAAGGGAAATTGACGCCCCTGTCAATCCACTAACTCTTCAGATATGCAAACGAGCAAGTCTGATTCAACCTGGCGACCAAAACTTCTGTTTTCACTCCAAGTCCTGGAGCTTTGTAAATGGGGTTAGTGGAATTCAAGGGAATGGAAATGTCCTCATCCAAAAATAGTAACTTATAGATACAAATGTTGAAGTAGGGGTTCATAAAACTCACATACAATCAACAAAATAATAGCAGCTGAAAGGAGAGATACATGAACTTAGAACTAACCCAAACTTCTGTTTTCACCCTAAAAGTCCTGGAGCTTTTTAAATGGTATTAGTGGAATTAAAGTGAATGGAAGCTCCTCAAATACTTACTTTTAGATTTTTAAAAAGCGTCATTGTCTTTAACCTAATGGTAACACATGTTGAGGTACAGTAGGGGTTAATATACAGCACAGAATTTGTTTTATTGTAAATGCATAGAATAAGTGTATAAATCTGCATTAGAATCAATGACATGTGTGAACTTATTTAAAATGGATATTTAAGCACAAAATAATAATACAAATAATATATTTTTTTGGAACAGCTGAAAGGAGAGATACATGAACCCAATACTACCAAAACTACTGTTTTTACCCCAGAAAGTCCTGGAGCTTTATACATGGTGTTAGTGGAATTAAAGAAGGGGGAAAGCTCCTTATCAAGAAATACTATAGCTTTGAATAATTTGTAAGATTCAAAAAGATAAAAAAGCGTTATAATCTTTAACATAATGGTAACATATGTACAAGTTATGGGCTCACAGACAGCTTAAGACTCACATCAAATCCCATGTATACACTTGTCCCCCCTGTAAATGCATTAAGGTAGGGGTATACATCTGCATTCAAGTCAATAACAGTCTGTTTGACCTTATTTTAAATGTATATTGCATCAGGATTACAATATGTTTTGTGAGTTGTCTTGTTGGAGTAGCTGGAAGGAGAGATAAAGGGGAGGTGAAGCATATTTAATGCTTGGGTTTGCCTTTATTTTACTGCTCAGATTTGGGTTTTTCTTTTGCACTTTTGAAGACCTTTAGTTGTTTGTCACATAGCCTCCACACAGATATAGGCTCATTGTCACACTCTGTCGTGTTACAACCTATAATGAAGAGAAAGGTCCACATATATATTTCTTTTTACAGTATACAGTATTTGATTTTACATTCTGTGTCTGTTACTCTTATTCTGTGGGAGGCTGTGGCTCAGTGGGTAGTGTGCTGGAGATCGAATCAGGGGATAGCAAGTTCGAGTCCCACTGCAGTCAGCATGTCGTTGTGTCCCTGGGCAAGACACTTCACCCCAAATTGCTCCTGTGGGGATTGTCCACAGTACTGGATGTATGTCAGTCGCTTTGGATAAAAGCGACTTACCTGAACTTCCCTATGGGATTGCAAAAGGTTTTATCTGTATTCCTGCATTTTGATTGCACCATTTCATTTCCCTATATCTTTTAGTTATAGTTTACTGCATTGTAGGAGGAGCCTGGGACTTCAATTTGTATTGCCAAAACTACATATATGACAATAAAGCCTTTGAATAGTATCTGCTCTAAATACGTAAACGTGACTCTCCACATCATGTACAGTAAGGAATGTGTGTGTGTGTGTGTGTGTGTGTGTGTGTGTGTGTGTGTGTGTGTGTGTGTGTGTGTGTGTCTATTTTTTCAAGTGTGTTTGGAGCGGAGACCTAAGTGACTTAACAGAAACAAATGAAAATAGCTGGAATACCTCGGAGGTTGAGCTGCAGACCTCCGTCCTCTCAGAGCTCAAGAGTTTATTTTGGACGACAGAAATCCTATTAACATGACGCTCACACACAGATACTGGCAACACGTAACTAAGCACACTTACTCAAGCACTGCACTGAAGTAAGTAAGAACTTCCCTTGACATTTTGCATTTCTTTTACAGCTTTTGTTACTATTTTGCATTTACAAAATACAAATAAACTGATCAATTGTGATGATTTATTATAAATTAAGATACCAAGCAATATTTAAAGTAATACAACATGATGAAGACATTCATAATACAATAATATCATATTGTTCTGAAATGGGCCATACTGCATGAAAAGTAGTTTTAAGTTTGGGCACATTAGGTATTTTGTGATGCCAAAACGATTGTACTTTTACTTGAGTAAGTATATTTTACATTGTAATAGTTTAAATGGTGCTTAAGTAAACTTCTACATGTCAAAAATATGTTTCTATTACACTTAAAATGACTTGAGTAAAGCTAATAATACTCATGAAAAGAAGATTTTGAATGCATGACTTTTACGGGTAACTTTTGCAAAATATTGCCTTTCTCGTGATAGTAAACTTTCCCTCATTAGTGTTGTATATTTTCCATTAAAGTTGACATTTCTATACTTTAACAACAACTTAAATATAAAAACACTGGTGTACTTCTTGTTCTTTCTCTAGTTCTTCTTCCACATCTGGATGCAGGTGTCAGAAGCTGTTTGACATCAGATCCTGAGAGGAGCTTCACAACATCTTCACGTGAAATCTATCAGGGTCTTTTTCAGCTCTGGGAAATGTTCCCGTCAAACAAAGAGAGCGGTCGAGGAGGGATTTATTTCAGAGTCGAGTTCAGAACGGGTCAGGCCTGTAACATGGATGAAGTGTTTGGAATAAAGGAGGGATTGACCGCGGATAAATGTATGAAATGATCATAAAACCACGCCATGCTTATACTGTACGTGATGTCTAGGGTTTGTTATACAGTGGTGGAAAGAAACTCATAAATGAACTCAAATACTGTGCTTCTTTGTCAACCCTTATATGCACGAGTGACTGGACCCTACACTCTTCCATAAGTGGGTCAAAAAGGACCCGTATTAGAATAATATGTGTTTTTATGCCATTTTTGTCATTTTGGTTAAGAAAATCACTTGTATTTAATATTTAGTATTATAATTTGGTTCATACTAGATATATGTTATTTGATATACATTTTTGACCCACTTATGGAAGCTTGGGGTAGAAATACAAAAACTGCAATTTCTTAAAATGTATAAAATTTAAATTTAAAATTTGAATGGCATGATATCCAAAACATGTTTTTTGAGGAATAGCTGGAATATGAAATGATAAAAAAATGTAATTACAAAGATACTCTAAAAAAAACACCTCACCGGGCAATACCCACTTATGCATCTAAGGGTTAAACTTTACCTTAGTAGTATAATGTTATGCTACTCCACTCATTTTGGAAGCATTTATTCCGCTTTTTACATATAATAAAACATGTTGTTATCATGATATGATGCAGTACTGTACCATTATACTAGAAAGTATGTACAATTATCTCTACATTGACCAAACACAACATTTAAATGCACTTACAAGTTTGTGTTACAATAGTAATAATATTGAAAAGAGCTTTTGTGCTTTACGGTGAGTTTGATTTTTAAACGTTTATTTAGCTAATAGTACTTCTGTACTTCTACTTAAGTAACATTTTGAATTCAGGAACTTTACTTGTATTTGAGTATTTTTACACCAAAGTAGTTCTACTTTTATTTAAGTAATACTTCCAGCTCTTTGCATAAGAGACACATGTTATGTAGAATACAGTATGTATGAAAGTCAGAGTGGACATTTTCACTTTAAAAAAATACCTTAAGTAAGTCCTGATTATATTTACACTTTCACTTAATTAAAGTTTTGGATTGACTTGTAACTGAGTATGTTTTGGTTGCAGTATAACTACTTTCACCTAAGAAAAATGTACTTCTTTCACCTCTGGATAACGGTTTTAAAATCTGTCTAACATTCCCCAAAAAATGTTAACTTGTAAATACTTTTTTTATTTAAGAGGTTAAATGCAGGGCTTTCACTTGTAACCCAGTATTTTTACCATGTGTTTTTGCTACTTGTACTTTAATTTTTACTGCAAAATATCGCTTTTACACTGAGAATAAAAGCTATTCATTGTCTATTACTCCCCATTGAAGTCTGAAGAACCACTGAATGACAAAACCACTTCTATTCTTCCTTTCCTTCCCCTTTAAGTTCCTCTTTATCCACTCAGTCAACACACTATAATGAGAACCCCTTAAAACTCTGTGTCTTTGCACTAAAACCTCGCGTAAAAAGTGCCAAATCCAATCGGTTTCTGTGCCAAAAGTGCAGACCAAGGTGCGATGGCGAGGTGTTACCTTTACGCATGTGTCACATTATGATGCCTGTGGGAGCCACTTCCATCCGGGTGTGGAGAATCACGCGAACCCCCATCAACCCCCCGCGCTCCCCTCCCCTCCAATAGGAGTCGATGATGGCCTGTTTGCACTTCATCATGGGGTGATAAGCGACACTTTTGTTCCGCGCTGCACACGGTGCTCCAAAGGCAGACTGGAGGAGGCTGTGGTGTCTATTGGAGCCTGGTTGTGTATTGAAAGTGTCCAGTCGAGGCATGGCTGGAAACCGAGTCTATAACTCTATTTCATTTATAACAAAAATGGCCAGAAGTTATTTAAACATCCTTCATGTACATTATCTATAGCAGCAAACCCTCACTTTCTGTTGTAACGCTTCGTCTCTGAGTTTTATGTTATTTTTGGTTAAATTGACCCTGGGAAACAATGATATCTTGTAATTTTAAATATGCCGAATTGTAGAGGAATCCTTTTGGAGTTAAGAAGCATGTTTGAAAAATCTGTGTCGCGGAGTTGAATATATAATTGGGTAAAATCAACGTATAATTGATAGATTTTCTAATGAAGTTCGGTTTTTTTTATTCGAAAAATATACAACACAACATGGTATCAATGCAAAACTCATCACTGATTCAAAGATGGAGTAACATTTAAAAAAACAAGCATTTACTTATTAAAAGCACTTTTTCCTATCGAATAT